TTTTCATGACTCAATCCAGGAAATTCCCCAAAACCGAAATTAAAGCCAAAACAATTCAGCCTTCTTTTCAACCAACAACCAGAAAATTGTTGGAATATTCCTAGAAAGAAAGGATCTGCCAATTGTCTGAAATATATAATTATGTTTGATAAGTTTAAACATTTTTACTTAACTGATGTAAAAAAAGCTAAGGCTTGAAACAACATAAATCTCTTCTGTGCCTAAAAAGCAAAGTCACCTTAGTTTTAAATAAGCTGATTTTAAAAATGTAAATACGCGGGAAAATTCATTTTTCCAATTTCCATCTATTCCATTCCTATACAAGAGCAACACGAGTCAACAACGCAGCCTGGGTTAATATTAACAAAAAAGGCAAAAACTGGGAAGCTTTAGTTGAAACTTTATATTGGGGATTTGTTTTTTATAAAGGGACCTTCCCTTCCCAACTAAAGAAATCCTTCTGCTGGAAAATAACCCGGAAATTATAATTAGGAAACCGAAGCCAGTTTATCCCTGGGAGGTCCCCATTGGTTTTGGCTAAAGTTTATTATTTAGGGGACGGAGCCGTATTCCCACTGGGAAGGTTCCATACTGTTTTTTGCTTCGATTTTTTCTATTATTAGGGGACGAGCCAGGTATCCCTGGAAGGGTCCCCTATTTGTTTTTGCTCGATTTTCCCCTTATTTAATTAAGGGGACCGAGCCCATTAATCACTGGGGAAGGGTCCCCTATTTGGTTTTTGGCTCGATTTTCCTTTTATTTATTTAAAGGGGGGAACCCGGCAGTATCAACTGGGAAAGGTCCCTATTGTTTTTTGGCCTCGATTTTTCTTATTATTTAGGACCGGACTTTAGTTAATCACTGGGGAGGTACTTATTGTTTTTTTGGGCCTTCAATTCTTATTAATTAAAAAGGGCTTGGGTGGGTAAAATTGGATAAAATGGGGACTGTAACTTGTATGGCGGCCTTTTTTTAGGTCCTTCCACCCACTCAAAAGGCCGCTCACAAACATTTCACTCAGCGATGGGCAAAGCCTTTAATTAAGAAAATAATTTCCAATTCATCCACATTCACCACCGATGGCATCAGGGAGGCAATTTCGGGGGTTTCAGTAAATGTTGCTTCCCCAAGGATACTTCCCGACATGTGGGCACCAGGGAAGCCCAGGGAATCAACCAACAACCCTTCTTCCGATTAGGGACAGACCTGCTCTGCCTCTGCAACCAACGCCACCACAAAACTAATTGTTTATTGCCGTTGCTTTTTTTCCGGGTCAAAGAATTAGAATGGCGGGAAACTATTAAGAAAAAAGGTTCAGGTTTTTCGTTTTGTCCCTCCACATTCAAAAAACCTTATATCGGTATCAAGTGAAAGAGCTGCAATTTTTCCCCATAATAAGGCCAAAGCCACTTCCGCCTAGGATTTTTTGTTCACTTTTAGTGGCGAAAAAGTCCATAACTTTATGTTTTTCGTGCTTCATTTTCATGACTTTTTTTTTCCGATTACGCCGAAAACCTTGGCAACGTAGCAATCTGGAGGGGCCATTCTTTGGGGGCAAAAAAAAGTTTATTTTTAAAAAGGTATTTTGAATAATTCCAAAAATAAGCCGCGTTATTAAAAATGATTCCTGGGTAAGAATTTTATGGGTCCCCCACAAAAGGAAGGTTGAAGCGCATTTCTCCATTGGGGTATGTTTCCCGATTTTGAACAAGGCCCTTGGGTCCAAGTTTCCGCAAATGTCCCTTTCCCCCTTAGGCATCGGGCACCAAATTTCGGGCATCCCACATGGTGGGCGCGCTTCTTTTTTTATATGAAAAGAGTTTTTATTAAATTCTTCCCATTGCAGCCATTTTTGTAACTAACGTTACCAATTCTGGGACGGCTGCAAATACAAAAACAGAAATATTAACAATATGTACAAGATTGCAAAGTGAAACCTAATCCGTAATGTCTTTGACCAGATACACACAAAAAAAGATGGTTTAAATAAACCTGTAACTCCACAAAAATGTATAATTTAGTTATTGTCTTGTGACAGACTATTATCTACTAATTATCATTATTGTGTTTTAGGTGGTGTGGCTATCTTGTGGTTTACATTTACGTAACTGGCACTTACAAATTATGTTGTTGTTCAAACCTGTTTTATATTCCCTGTTCATTAGTTATCAGAAGCTAACTTTCTTATCTGGACCACATCATGCATACTGACGTGGTGTGATTTATCCCCATTGTCATTGATTGTCTGTAATTTTTAACCACCTCTGTCTGTTACTGTTCTTTTGGTTTAGGATCATGGCGGTGGTGAGGAGTGAGGTTATTCTCTCAGTTTACATCATTTCCTTCCTGATAGGCCTGCCAGCGAACCTCCTGGCTCTCTATGCCTTCAGTGTTAAGATCCACTCCAAGCCACAACCAACAGACATCCTGTTACTCAACCTGATTGTCTCTGACCTGCTCTTTTTGATCATCCTTCCTCTCAAGATGTACGAGGCGGTGTCAGGCATGAAATGGAATTTGCCCAACTACGTGTGCTCCATCACCTCCTTCACCTTCTTCTCCACAGTCTACACCAGCTCCTTGATGCTGATGGCAGTCAGTGTGGTTCGCTACATCGGGGTAGCTTTTCTCTTATCGCCCTTATCATCAGCTGAAGAAAAAACCTTGTTAACCCGGCAAATAGTTATCAAGTTGCTGTTATTTGGGCCTGAATCTTTTCAAAACTGCACACTGCAGCATTACTTTCATTACCCAGCACCACCCCTCCTTGTCCAGCAACAATGCCACCGTGTGCTATGAGAACTTCACAACAAAGCAGCTGGACATCCTCCTCAAAGTACGTTTGGAGCTTTTCATTGTACTCTGCCTTATACCTCTTCTCATTTGTGTTTACTGCTACATGCGCTGCATCTTGATCCTGCACAGCGGCCCTAGGATATCCCGGATGCAGAAGCAGAAGGCCATTGGCATGGCCTCGGGGACTCTAGCTGTGTTTCTCATTTGTGTGCTGCCATACAATGTGTCTCATTTAGTGGGTTACATCCAGGGTGAGAGCCCAAGATGGAGGTACTACACCCTGCTACTTAGTACCTTCAACACCTGTATTGATCCCATCATCTTCTACTTTTCCACTAGTGAAAAGTCACTTTTCAGGAAGCGTAAAATCGCTGTTTCAGGAGTACAAAGACAGGCAACAAGCTCTGGCTGAGAGCAAAATACACTTTCATTACAGTATGTCCATATCTAGATTCAATATCAATATATAAGTCTTGCACTGTATATTAGTAGTACAGATGTTATCAGAATGTTGTACAGACTGTTTTAACAATTCAGTTTGTTTATAAAATAATGTCTCATATCTAGTAGGAATGCACAGATACCACTTTTTTTCAGACCAATACAAGTACACATACTTACATTTGGGTACTTGCCAAAACCGAGTACTGATGTAAGTACAGTTCAACTTTGAAAATATGTTTTATTTTCATCTGATGTTCCTCACTTTCTGACTGGAACAATGATGTTTAATTAGCACAAAAGCCATTTATATAGGACACAGATATGTAAAGTACAAGATAATGGCACATTTACTATTGCACAGTTACTTGTTTTTTGATGGCAAGACAAATTTGTTCTCCTTTTTATTTCTTGTTATCTTGTTTAAATACATTTTACTGATGTGTAAATATAAAGTGAACATTTTCATGAATGCAAAGCTGATGAGACTGTACTAACTCATAATAAAGAGTTGCAACTTTAGGAATAAGTGTAATTAAAAAAAATTGTGAAAACGTAAAAGCATGACAGCATTGCATTTATAATTTTCTGATTTATTTTTCAAGAATTGACAGAGTAATATATTAACTTTCCTTCGTTTCCTTCAATTTACGATAATTTTATATCTATCTTATATTGAATTTTTTTAATATCATAAAACAGATTAACACTGAACTCTACTGCACTCCTTTATTTGAACGAACCTGCAAAGAAGGTCATGAGCAGTGCCACCCAGTCTAGTATGTAGGACCAAGAGAAGCGCCAGTCACCAAAGCGCTTTCCCAGGAAGTTTACAGTCACCCCGGTGTAAATGGCCATTGCAAGCAGAACAAAGAGAGCTGGTGTGATGGGCAGAGAGA